GGCTTAGCCCTAATAAACCTTTGTACAGAGTGTCCCAACCCTTAGTCCCATTAGCCTAATTGTAACTATTGATAAAGAATCGAAAAGAATTAAAATTCGTATCAACCTCAACACTTGCAACCTATGCAACCCTAAAATAAGGTTGTACTAAATGAAGCGGCTCCCCCACTTCATTATTTGGAGCGCGGCTGAGTTGATAGTGCCCGCGAACTGTGTGATGGAGTGTTTCCAAACTACCCACAAGGTTCGCGGGCACTGCCAACTCGTCCGCGCTCGCGCGCCCCAAATCGAAGAAAGGGGGAGCCAAATAACGACACCAATCCTTACTCTGATAAACCGAGGAACCTACCTTCAGATTTCCAACCGAGTCTTCAAAAAAGAAGTTAGATCAAGAAAAGAGGATGGATTGATCGAATTAAAGGGCTTGACGTGAAGTAGAGGGTATGTGTGCAGCTGCACCAAGATACACGCTGCTTGACGCGCACCATTAAATATACGGTATACTACCCTGACCTCCTGAGCTTATAATGTTGTACCCGATTGCTACCAGTCGTGAGTTAGCAACAACGCTGAGGTGCACTAACTGACAGTTATCGAGGATCCCACGATCTTGGTTACAGGGCAGCATGTTCGCAATGGGTACCACATGGGTTGCGCCAGTCTGGGGAGGCGAAGTGTGTGACCATGGTAGAGATTTCTCTTCTTCCTTCGCATCAAAGGAATCTCTTGACAAAAATGATGACTAATGAAGATAGCTCAAGCTTTGAGGAAACTGTACACATAAGCTCTATTGGATTCGATTGAAAGTAAAGCTACATGCAGGAATCTTTCTAGAGAATGGCGTTTCAATGTTGTTGATGAGGATGCAGACTGATTCTTTGCAGGCAACTGCTGAATGTGTGCACCGCGGTGATGACCATTGTCGGCTCTAATTAGCTTCGAAATTTGGCCGAAAAATTCGTAAAATTCACCCAGAAATGCACAGCATTGTGTTCCCGCCCCACGCACATCCACATGTGACAAAGGATTGAAGGAAGTGGTCACGATAATTCTCATAGGGACGATAAGGAAAGCTGTGTACTGGAGTGGATAGGGGTCCTGCCCAATGTTAGAACACGTGAAGTTTCAGTGGCAGTGGCGCCTTATCAACGGAGTGATAAGGCGCCGAAATCCACTTCCGTTCAGCAAAAACCAAGACTTATCGATGTGGAAAGGGGTGCGATAAGAGCGTGCTAGATATGATAACTAGTTAATACAGCTTATCCGTCCCGTTTCATATAGAAGATAACAATATATTAACCGCACGTTCTATCTCATCGTATCTTCATGGCTTAACTCGTCACATCGTGTTCACCCTTACTCGATTACTCGGGAAGAATATAGATAGACGTGATCGCTTCCTTCAAGTATTAAAAGATCATGGATTTTGATCGGGAAATTCTGCAGTACTTGGCTTACTTGCCAAGCTTAGCCGCTTCTGGTTATCGGTAACTGGTGCCCTGAAGCGTCATATAAAAGAAAAAACCCAATGACTGAGGTCACTCAAAAATGGAATCGATCGCTTCTTTTCAAAGCAAACGCCGGAATCCTAAAGTAAGAGAGTTGAGAAGCTGCCCGGAAAAAGTGTACGTCTCCTATATGGTAATGGTGATAATCTTGCTGATTGAATATTTCATTCAACAAAAGAAGGTGCAATCAAAAATCTTGGACAAAGTGTCGCAGGATTTTCTGGACAACCAAGTAGCAGCAGAAGTATGCACAGAATCTGAGGAATGGCAATCCTTGTGTTCGATTGAAACAATCTAGTTGAAACTGCTTTTGAAACCCATTTCAACTAAGCCTGACAAGTTCCTTTTTTCGTTGTTATTTCACGTTGTCCGATCGGAATTCCATTGCTGTACCCCTAGGTAGCTTAGCTTCTGCTTACTGATATTACTGATCTACTTCGTTATAATATCAATCATGGTTTATGTATTTATCACTCGAATATGCTTGAATGACCTGAGGCGGCCGCACTCGCAATACTGCGCCAGTCCCAAACGGCTAAAAAAGTCGAAACTCCCGTTGTCGTCAAAATCTACTTCTGATAATTACGATGCAAGGTGGAAATACTCCTGTGGTGCTCACACTTTTGGCCTGCAGTGGTGGGTTAAATGGACGATCTTATGGCAAATCCTTGGAGTAGAACAGTCTCGAAGGAATCGCTGGCAAGACGCGAGGTTGCACTTCCTTATCGGTTGGAACTGTTCATCGAATAAACGTAATAAAACTCCGAAACTAAAGCATAGGAGAATCTAGCGAATTCAATGATGCAACACGGAGACTTGCTCACTCCACGCTTCTTGATGCTCACTATTACTACGATATTTATATTCTATAAGTTACCAAAGCAATGACCTGCTGATGACTTTAGAAGTTATATGTATTAATAATCCAAGATACCGGACAACAGTATGTATTTGGTTTTTGTATTTGAATTTGAAAAGATAACTTATTTTCATTGTTCACTTTTAACCCATTTTACATGAGTTGGCAATAACTTTGAGAATAAGATAGACGATGTTCCCGAGGCAGTGTGGAGGTGAACAAATGCCGAAATATAATGATTTTCATCCTGTTTGAGGATGACCTCTGCTCAAGAAATTTATGAAGTGTACACCTTTATTACTACATAAGTGAAGATCACCGTCGGAAGACTTGTGAGACGCTGTACGCGGGTTCTTCCCGAGGCAACGGCCGTTTTGTAGGTGAGCACATGAAGCAAGAGAGCGCCACCAGAGACACGATGGCGCCCAATAGTAGAAGGCCTGCGAAGACCACCTCATTCAAGCTCACACAATGGTCGGGAGTTACCGGATGGCTGACTGAAATGAACAAAATAAACTATGGATTATCAGCAGGAAATGATCAAAACAGTGTCAAAATATCTCTCGTTATCTTTTCCTTTTTTTTACTGTCCTTGAGGGTTCACAGAAGGTAGAAAAAAATGTGTGCGACTAAAAATTCTGTACAACGGATTGCACATAAAAGGCTAAAAGGAGAGATTGTGTGTCATGGGCTTATTGGTACACCAGCTTTGCTCCGCCCGGTATCGCGCGCATCATACGACCTAAGGTTCCACAGGCACTCCAGGTATATTTATCACACATAGCTCTGTAAACACTCCTGAATCTTGATAATTTAGCGGTGAATAGGGTTATGGTGTTAGCCTCACAATTAAATTGCAACATTATCATAAGTGAGCATCTAATGCTGATCCTTCATTCACAGTGTTCGCAAATCCTAAGCTTTGGCGGTCATTAAATGAGTTCTGGTCTTCTTGGTATTAGATCAAGAATGGAATGTACCATTCGCCAAGAGTCTGCTCAAGCCAAGCTGATTATATCGATAGAATGTCCCTAATAACACTTATGAAAAGAGCCCCATAGTGCCAACGTGACCTGCGCAATGGAACTGCCGAGTTCTGCCTTCTAAGACTCCTTGTCAACCTCTATCAGTTGCTATCATTTTTGTCGCCCACCAACAATGTTCAGGTACCACCTCACATAACACTTGTAAGTATGAACGCTCTAGTGTCAACGCGAACGCTTGAGTCAAATTTAATGAAAAGAAAAAATCGAGAAGGATTGGGAGAAAAATTAAAACGAAAGTAAAAGGAAACAAAGGAAAGTAACTGACGAATACACAGGCGCGGGAAGCAGTAAATGCCTAAAACCTCGCTCGAATTTGTCGCGCGGTTTCCCGCACGCGGCAAGCCGCGTGTACTACGACGTCGCGCGGTGACTGCCCACAGGCCTAATCCCTTAGCTCTTGCTTTACAGCCAAACCCCGAAATGAATTCGATCCTACTGAATGGTTGTTCTTATACTGGTAGGAAAGTGGTATCACAATCACGATATCTTTCGCCTCTAGTCGACCATTTTGCGGACGGACAGACAGACGTGCAAACACGCACACAAACAAACCGACACACCAAACTTCTGGTTTATATAATGAAGTGATCGCCAGAGCTAGTTTGATCGAACTATGTGTGACCACTAAAACAACCAGCGCCTTCTGCTTTCGTTTTGAACGCTCAGCTACTTAAGCTCTGAAGGAGCTATGGCCGTCGATGGGCACCAGTGCAGCCCCTCATGCGGCTTGCCACATGCTTGCTTTTCTGAAGGGTACATTTGCCTTGACGAAGCCCTTCGAAGGGGATGTTCTTGTTTGCTCAATAATGACAATGTTCCAGCTTCCTCCTAGAACGGTCCTACTCAAAGTTTACGGAAAATGGAATGTGGGAAATAGATACGAATTTCCTTGCATTTCGCCATCCTCAAAATTTCCACAAGAAATTGCATGTGTGCAGCACTACTTCGACTTATCCAGTGCTTTCTTTCACTGAAAGCGAGTTTTAACTGAGTCAATTTCTGATAGAGGTCAAAGTCTTCGAGTGTAAGCGAGCGAGGAGCTTAGCAAACGCCCTTATTACTCAGTATGACGGCGGATATATAAGGTTGCCTTAAAATTTTGTTCTTCTTCTTAAGCTTTTGGCCATTTTAATGAGCGTGTTACAGAATCTTCAGGGATAATTTTGCAACATTCACTTGTAAAACGCATGTAAACCTAGCACCAATAGACTGCCACTGCCACCGTTGCTGTCCAGTCAACTAGTAGAGTTTTTGGCATAAGTAACTTACGCAAAGAGGACTTTTCAAGGGCGGAAGTGGTGTAGTGACAAGTGGCGCGCTTACCACGCGAGCGGTCCGGGAATCCTGGGTCGTGAGTCGCCCGGGCCAACCAAGCCTTCCATCCCTCCGGGGTCGGTTAATTGGTACCAGACTTGTCTGGGAGGATAAAAACACTGACTTGTACATCGGCCCCCGCAAGTCATTGTATAGGCCACATCGCATTCAAACGCCACTGCGAATGTACAAATGGAAGTAGAATGCGTGCCGCATCCCAAAAAGGGATTGATCAACGGCAAATGCTTTATCCTTTTATCTACAAAATCCGTTGAATTTCTCGAAGATGAGGAAAAACTCACTGAGTGCTGCTCGTTGAACTTGCTGGGGTTCGATCTCAAGAACGGTTTGCATCCTGAGCGTCGTAAGAGTGGCATTCTTTTCCACTTCCTCTCGCCTTCGACGAAGTGCCGGGATCAGAGGCGCTTTACCAGCATCAGGTTCACATTGCTGAAACAGATTTGAGCTCTCTGAGTTCCTTCTGGGTTGGAAAAAACCCAACAAGTGATGGAAGTCGAACCTGTCTGCGACATGAGTGCACGCATGGTTTGACTTGACATTCAAAGTGAACGAATTGTGAAGAGGTAAACTGGACAACCGCTACCTAAAAATTAAAGGCCTTGCGATTAACGATAGTTTCTGGGCGAGATCCGAGGGTGCGGATGAGCGGTTTTACTGGTACGCCTATGGCGAAACGTTGAGAATCCGTCCAGAAAACGCAAAACGTGACCCCCTTGTGTGGCCGCCGATTGGCGCTCACGGACGAGCAGACGGCGGACGTGTGAGATCATGCCTTGTTTTGGTGACACTATGCCAGAACATGCTCCATCGAGTTGCTCCAGTTGTGATTTGAACGGACTATGCTGCCAACACAGCCGCCAAATCACTAACTGAACTAATGAGCGGACCGTTTTTGTGGCAGGTGTTTCCGAAGCCCTGCTAGCGGAAGGCCACACCTCTCCCCTTGGCAGTGGCGCTCCGATGCGCTCCCCTTCATTGTAATCGTTTCCTTCAAGGTAGAATGATTTGTTTGTGGTTTGGTTCATCTTTGATAAAATCATAAGATGGGGTGAGTATGTGGTCGTGCTAGGTCGAGCGTGGGTCCCATCGGTACGTTTTTCATTTGCTTGCGGGAGGCAATAACATCTAATCCTCAAAAAAAAGAGCAAGAGGCAGTGCTATTCACTGCTTTAGACGAATATCGGAGCCTTCGCTACTTCCCTCCTGTCATTCCCAAACCTTTCTCTTCACGTTTATTGCGGATGTATAATACTTTTCCCAGTAATTGCAATCCCTTACAAATTTTGAAACACGATCCCCCTTGGGTATCACCTAACAGATGGCTGACCCCGGCATAGTTGCTACGCAATTGCCAACACGGCAGAGGTACATCCTCATCCTTCTGTACATCTGAAAAGGGTCTAACACACAGACAATTCTGTACATTTTTGATTTGGTTTAAGGTCAACAAACTGATGACAGCGGGCTGCGGTAACGCGTCCCACTTTGTACACCACGTGGGACATTATGACACAGAAACGCGTCCCACCCAAGTCACCCCTCGCCCCCCTCTTTCTTCACTTGCGCAAATTCTTCCCAAATTGTATGTATTTATTTTGGATAACGCCATAACATAATTGTGAAATACACAGGTCACTCACTACATTGGTTAAAAAATTAAAAATTTGAATTAGTCTGCGTGCTTAGACCATCTTCAGATGAATAGGATTTCCTCTGCGTGTATGCCAATTGCGCAGCAACTTTGTGCCGGCGTCGCCATACAAAATTATACGTGTGTGGATCCAACAAGTTCACTCGTGGCGCGGTAGTGCAGCCCTAATACCGGGGTTTGCCTTTTAAAGGCAAAAGTCGGGCTCAATAAGGGGGTATTATGGCGATTGAAACTGAGTATAGAGATGCGAAGTGGAACGACAGTGGAGAAAAAACTGAGAAAAACCGTCGACAAGGCCGTTAACAAAACCCTCTTTCCCACTAGCAGTGAAGGAGGCTGGCTTGGGAAAGAGGCACGTACAAACAAGTTTTCTGGAGATGTCAGTCGTTCTATCGGTTGATACGGCAATCAACCTAGTTGTTTCACACGTTATGCCAGCCACGCACCACTTCCGGAGGTGGGCGGTCCCGGATTGACGAGGCGGTCCCGGATTGAAACCGACGGCCCCGGGGCTTAACGACGTTTTTCAAGGTGGAAAGTTGCTGCAATGTGTGCAGCTACCCACATACAACCTCCAGGCACGGGAATTACTTCTCTAGCGTGTCTGAGCCCGACCTTTGCCTTTAAGCTAACATAACACGCACTCGAAGTTGTGAAGAGTAGAAAACTAAAACTCTCACATATGGAGATAGACATGCTTGGGACCGTGGTTGATAGGCTCTGTAGTGAAGGCAGGGACGTCCACAGCCCGGCTCAACCGAACAGCACATCTGTAACAATGAGGATTTCTTCAGTAACCCGAGCCCAGAAAGATTCCAGTGCACTTACCCGTTGCTATCAATGATGTTGATGCTGGCGTCTGCCGTGTTCGTGCCGTCATGTGCGTAACATGAGTGTACGTAAAAATCGTAGATAGCTAAAAGTGACACCTCAGAACGCAAACTTTCATGGGCTGATCGTGTTCCACTACTTCCGAGAAGTAGAACGCATTTCGACCAATTAAAGAAACAATCTAAACCACAG